CCGTTTGCTCGTCTCGTTCTCTTCACATGCCCCTTGGCTGGCTCTTCCTCCCTCTGCAGAGGATGCTAGACCGCCGCTGCCGGGGTCCAGGGCCGGTCAGTTCTAAGGTGTATACACGTGAAGTCCCTTGTCGAGATCGGTCGATCTTGCGTCCAGAGTTTCGGCCGCTCTGGACCTCGTTCACTCTTCCACGTTAACTCTTCGACTCGTCGCGGTACACGCGTGTACGGGTGTCAGTTCGGTGAGCACGATAACGACGGTTTCGAGGTGGAATCGGTAGAACGGAGGATGACGAAGAGAACGATTCCCCGAAGAATAGTCCTTCTGTTCGGTTATTGCAACAAGCCGTCCCTGAGCCCGAGGACCCGCAGCCCCGGGACCGTTCCACCGAGTTCGTGCAGGTATATAAATTCTGGTGCTATTATTGGGGTTTGTGCCTTCTCACAGAGCCCTCTGGGGCCCGCGGCGGCCCCTTTGAGCTACTCTGTCCACCTCTCTCGTTTTCCGTTATCGTCTCTCTCGCGCCTCCACTGTTTCTACTCTCTCAGGGCTCCCTACCTTGCTCCTCCGCTGTCTTATCCTAACCACTGCCTCCTTCTCCTTGTCCTCCACCTCCTCCTCACCCTTTGACTCCGGGCCCTCCCTCCCTTCGCGTCCCATTCTCCACCTCGCTGCCGATCCTACCGCCCCTGACTTGTTTGTTTTCCCTCGCGTCGTCTTCCGTTTGCTAAACGCACCTTAAATTACGCGGCCGATGATAAATATTTGAGCCGTCCATTACGCGAAAGGGCCACTCGGACAGAGGTCCGACCGGTGTTACCTTCTTGAGCCGACCGAGCTCCGACGTTGGATCGTGTTACTTTGTAAAAGGGACACTCTGAGCGGACGATGGCGTATTCTGTCTTTCTATCGCGTTAATTCTTTCACAATTACTGTCGTCGGATCTGATACATTCTTGCAGATAGAGATATGAGGGATGGATTCTTGTATGGCTGAGATGGCAGATTGATTACAATGCAGCTGATCAAATTTCTTCATCATATATATAGAGAATTAACATTACAATATGCAACAATACAATATATCCGTAATACGATATGAATATATAGATGATGTATGGATGTGTAGACAGATGAGTAGATATATAATTGTATAGTTTCATATAATAATATGCCAGAAGTACAAATATTTAAACCTCAAATAATACTGCAATATCAATTTCAATAACGTAACAACATTTGTTTATTTATTTGACAAATTCCTCAAGTTTTGAGGTTATTCTTATCATGGCGGTTGTCGCTAAATGAAATAACAAAATTTCACAAATTTCATACATAAAAATTGCAACCAGCTTTTCAAATAACAGTGCAGATGCCACATACATGTTGTAGCTTAATTATCTTTATTCAGCTGTTTTACGAATTCCAAAGTTTTGAGGTTAAGTTTATGGGTTGTTAAAATATTCCTCTTAAGTTTTGATCATAGTAAAATTATAAGTAGCAGTGTTTCAAATAACAGTACAGATGTTCTATACATCCACTTGAGCTTCATCTTTACTTAACCGTTTTAGAAGTCCAAAGCTTTGAGGTTAAGTTCATCAGTCACTAAAATAGAATATTTCTCTCAGGTTTTAATTATAGTAAAATTGTAACTAGCCTTTCAAATAACAGTGCAGATGTCCTATACATCAACTTGAGCTTAATCTTCATCTAACCATTTTAGAATTCCAAAGCTTTGAGGTTAAGTTCAGTTTGATCAGTCAAGTAAAATAATATTTGTCTCAAATTGTAATCATAATAAAATTGCAACTAGCAACGTTTCAAATAACAGTCTAGATTCCACATAAATCATCAAACGTAACTTAATGAACTTTATTCAGGCGTTCAACGAATTCCCATCTTTTGAGGTTAAGTTTATAATGGCGGCCGGTGTAACGCGGCAACACCGCGCTATTACTCGCACCTCAAATTTTATTTCCGCTACGAGCCACCACAGCCGCCACAAAAGTCCAAGTGCCTCGTAACAGGATTATGAAATGTTCCGGAGTAGCGTTCCACGGATGTTTACAGCCCGCAAATACTCGTCGCCTTTTATTGCTGGCGAGTTTCAGCGATTCTGGCATCGGCTTCGTTAACGAGCGCCGTTTATACTTTCCTCTTCGGATCGTAATTCTCCGCTTTTCGTGTACCACGCTACGCAAACCGTAATATTACCATTGTTTCTTCACCTAGCGGGAATCCCATGGATCCTGTAGGATCCGTGAACCCGATACGTGTCACGTTCTATCGACAGGGCTACTCGAATTGTAAACATCGATTGTTTGGCGAACAGCCTTTATCTACGCAGGTCAGCTAGACTAATCTCTGGCCTCTGTTGCTCTTCTCTTACTTGGTTATTTTGAAAGTTGATACTGTTTTTGTGTTTCTTAATGTCGGAACCATTGGTCACTAGATAAGCTTTTAGGTTCATGTTCAAAGATGATTTTAAGGTTTAATTTTTACTCGTCTTACGTCGGTAATTATTGTACAAGTCTTCTGAAAAAGTTTGTAATATCGGTAACATCCACCTGTGTAACCTTTGCTTGAATTTGCAAACAAAATAAACTGACACATGTGTACTTTTGAATGACTTAATTTCTTTTTTATTACTTCATATGCAACGTACAGTAAGTGCAAAAATAATTACAGTTTTTATTTTTTTATTTTTTGTGCAACTTTGTAGCGGTCGTGGAACTATTTTTGTGCGCCGAATTTGAAATCACAAAGACGAACATGATTTTTCCACGAAATTTCTTGAAAATACCAAACAAAAACAGAAAACTTCTAAGCACAATTCTCCGAAGCGTACAAAGAAGTTTACCGGAAATTTAGCGAAGCTTTTAACGGCGATAAGAAAATTGACTTCAGGGAACCTAACCAAACGTTAAGATATTCTTTTGAAAATGACATAACCGTCTCGAAGGAGTTAAAATGTCTTAAAGAAGCTGAGTAAACGCACGGCAAGAGTGTACCGCTTCAAACACAGAGTTTCAAGTGTCGTTTCGTCACAAAGATAAGAGCGTCATTCTCCTGGTTGAAAAAATAGAACAAAAGGCTGCAACGCGAAACATCTGTGAATGACTTTCTCGTTTCATTCAGCGCGTTACATAAATATCGGCAAACAGTGGAACTGGAACGGTGAAACGATCGTACGTGCGAGAAGAAATGCTTTTCCCACAATACGAATCGCTAGCAGAATTTCAAGGACCCATTTTGTTTATGCCGTGTAAATTCGGTGGCGTCGCTGATAGATTGCCGTAGGCCGGCGAGTGGTGGGGGCCCCTTATTCACAAAAGATGTTTATTATCGGTAAACCGAACAGTTTGGTAGACCGTTGCTCGTCTCTCCCCGCCTTGTCCTTCGGTAGACTTCGACTTTCGTATCAGTTGGCTCATAGCTGTGGCTGGTGACGTTTCATCGGCAGCTCGGCGTCGCGTTCTTCGCCTTCAAACTCCCAACGGTGTGCCATCACTTATCGGCGCGATCGCGTCAGGTGCGAGATTATGAATCAAAACGAACGTGGCTTAAAAATCCGAACTGATAACCCGGTTCGGTCAGGTACTACCGCTCTAATTCCTGTGTTGTGAGCTGGTTTTCGACTACAACGAATCCGTTAACCCGAAGATGGGACAAGAAGGTTCACCGCGGAGAAACGCTCGAGGAGGCCCGAGAGACGCAGCGTTCAATAAAACCGAGGCAGCCGACACGGCGTAGGAATGCGACAAAAGCGGTAATCGAGCAAAGGTGGAGCGAGGTAGAAATCGTAAAGAAGAGCGAAACTTGACGGGTAGCGAAGTCAAGGTCAACCCACCCCACGCTCGGACGTGCAGAGGGTGCTCGGGCGCCCTCCTCGGGGGTAGAGACGGTCATTGAGAATCGTGGCGGTACTTGAGGTGGGACAAGGGGGTATTTTCGAGGGGGAAGCTCGTAACAAGGTAAAACGTTGTTGCAACGCCGACGACGACAACGAAAAGGACGAAGAGGAAGGATCAATCGAGGGTAGAGAAGGGGAAACGTCGGCCACGTAAAAGGAAGGAGGACAGGCTGCGGCAAAGAAGCCGAAGAAACGGAAAAGATCCGAAAGAGAGGGTACGACCTCGATCAAACCGAATCGAACGAGGAGAAAGCTAAAAAGGTTCTCTGCCCTCTCCCTTCGCCCTCTGAGTCCCTTGGTCTGGCGTCCCTGTCTGGCCCCGTGCACCTGTCCTCGTTCGGCTCGCGCACGCCCCGCCCCGACCAATGGTGTCTCGACGGGCCCGGTGACGTCAGCAAAGGTGAACCAGGAGGGCCAGAGTGGTGGGGGACAGGATCATCCACCACCACCTTCGGAGGCCGTGAGAGCTCCACGGGGGCCAGCGGCTTAGCTGTAACCAGCACCGGCGGCCC